CTCAATGTATCATGATAATCCATATAATCATAGCCATTTGCCCCAATACCGGAATATCTCTGATCATTTTTTATACTATTTTCAACACCAAAGGGCTCATAATTCTCGTTCCTGTTTCTCACATCATTAGTGGATGCATCGTCCACATCACTACTACGATCCATCCTTAACTGAAGCTTACTAGAATGGTGTCTCTCTCCCCCTAAATTTGCATTTTCTAACCCACTCCGTTGTACCAAAATCTGTTCAAAATTGAAGTCCTCTGAGTTCAAATCCTGATTTTCTAATAGAGTTGGCTGTAAGTTCCCATTCTCTTCACCCCAACCGGAGAATGAGGGATCCCGCCTAATTAATGACCTCTTATCTTCAATAGTTATATTGTCACTTTCCTTAACTTTTTCAGTATTAGAACCAGTCTCTATCATTGCCGTTAGCATCACCAAATTCAGTCCAGGCCATTTAAATCCTGAAATCTAAACCAAATAATAGCCGAGGCACATAGTAATTTCTCCAGTGGTTTTGGACAAGCAAAATACTGGAAAGCTCTCCGAGCTCAGAGTTGATTAAGTTCAAGTATTAAACCTGAAAACAAAAAGAAAAATTTAAGCTGGACCGCATATTCGAAAATTTTCAGTCTTGCAAATTAAGTCAATACAGGAAACACCAAAGAGTTCAATCAGATTTTTCTAACAAATGAAAACCCAAAAATCCAAATTTAAATTACTAAAACCCAGAAAGCTAATCAATATAGAAAACACCAAAGAGTGTAATCAGATTTTTCCAACAAAAAATAACCCAAAAAACCACATTTCAATTAGTAAAAACTAGAACGAAAATAAGGTAAAAATATGTGCTTGATCAAGAACTATACTATAAAAGATACCATTTTTCAAATACAATACAGAATATAACATACTCTAAGCTTCTGTTTGATTGCAAAGGTGGAAAATAAGCGGAAAGAAAATGAATTCCAAGGAAAGTAATTGTCTAGAAATTATTTTTCAGGGAATTGTTAATTAAGTATGTTTGATTGGTATAATTTTCCACCCGAAAAATTTTTAAATTTTGTGTTCGTTTGACTTTATTTTACATGAAAATTGTCCATTAAAGTGATAATTTTTTCCACAATTGGT